TATATATATAGTATATAGTATAGTATAGATAGTATGCTAGATTTAAAGCAAGTTGCGTGCTAAATGCTAGACACACTCATAGATACGGTGTTTAACTGTTTGCCAGTGAATGACAGACACTGTTGTTGCAGTACAAAGGCCCCGAAATAGGCCCTTCTCCACCTTCTCCCCACCCCCCTTCATTTTGGCCAGACATTTCAGCAAGTGCCAGCGAAGCTTCAACGCCGAAATACAAAAGGCAAAAAGCCAACAATAACAATAAATGCACTAACAATGAAAGCAAAAAACATAGCATAAAAAATAACAAAAAAAAACTGCAGAACCAACACACAGGTGCAGTGGAAAATCAAGATAGGGGGAGGGGCAGAGAGTGGGTTAGAGGTATGAGGCAGAATTGGAGCTGACTACAGCACACTGGATTGTTCCCACAGTGTTCCCTCCCAGACAGACGCCTTCGTCAACAGCGTCGCCGCCCGTCAACCTCTAATAGACTTTTCACGCTTCGGTTTTAAATTGAGGTGCTGATTCTTACAGCTGATACCTTTTATATATATTTGTATATATCTATATATACCTTGATGTATTGGTGTTTATGTAAATAGATCGTTTTGAGGTGCAAGAACTAGATCTAAAAAGAGCTGTGGCTATGCTGGACCAGCTGCCTTGCTTGCAGATCTTGTTTATTTTACATGCCTAACAGGTTCATTTTGCTTTCATATTTGGGCTGGCTGGGTGAGTTCCTGTCAATGAATAGATTAAGATTTTACCAAAAATAATTAACTAAAGTTTATATAAGGTTTTCTGGAAAGATTTCTCCCTTATTTAAGAAGAAGTAACCCCCTGGGAAGTCTACAAATGCCTTAAAACTGTTTTTAAGCACAAATTTTGATTTACAACTTTATTATTTCCCAAAAACTCCTTATAAAAGCCCTCAAAACAGCAAGTACCTTTTAGTTTAAACCTTTTCACATATGTTTTTTTTCTTTCATTTTCCATTTCCCTTTTAGTTTTTACTTTTCCAGAAGTTTTTAGCAATGAGAAAACTTTTTGCCCACAAAACGAGCATATTTATACGATGTGAGTTTTCTAGTTTAGTTTTTTTTAAGCTTGATTCCAGTTGAAAGTTTTTATTATTAATTGCAACAAAAATAGCGACCGCAATGGGCTGCCAAAAAGTTGCAAATAGTTGCAGATGCGATGCCTGGCTAGATAACCAGGCCAAAAGGGCTTTACCAGGCAGTCAGCCAGTCAGGACTATTGCCAAACAGCTGTTGGTATTTGTAAGGGAAAAACTAATAAAACAAATCGCATGTTTAGCCAAGAGTAGTAATAGTTTGTAGATATCTGGTCATTGAACCAGGCATCCTGGCAACCCTCAATAGCCGACCAAAGTCATTGCCTGTGGGGTGGAAGTTGGTGTGTTTGTGTGCCACCCAAAATCCGATTGGAATTTTAAGTGCAGTGCAAATCCAAAGAGTCCGAGAAAAACGCATTCAGTCAGCCGAACAAGACATCTTTTTCCGGGGGTAGTAGTTGCTTATTTTAGCGAAGGAAGTGGGCGTCACTCGGACATGGCCATGCAATTTGTATCCTTATCAGGACTAGCCACCATTGATTGGAAGAGTACGTCCTGTACGTCCTGTATTTATGCTCCACCGAACTCAACCCTCGCCCTGGCACTTGACCAGAGCTCAAATAAACAATGATGACAGCGAGGGGATAAGACTTAGACAAAGGAACTGTCCTGGGGCGCTCATGTGCAAGTTATGGACGTGAGAAATCCTCAAATAATTGGAAGCTAGCACTAAGCTAGCAAGTGCTGAGAGAGTGCAGGAAGTGTAATCCCAAAAGTAATCAACGGCGGGAATAGAAGATTAAATAAATTGCATGCCAAGCAATGTAATAATTAACACCGTAAGTCTACGCTTGGCTTTCAGACATAACTTAATTATTATCTTAGGCTAAATAAGAATTAAAATATTAGATAATTAACCATTAAACTAATTAGAAACCTATAATTAACCCAATGCGGAACGATTTAGCACGAAGTTTAACGATTAAAAATAATCAAAACAATATTTTAAGACCATTAAGAAGCTATAAATTATTTGGAAAATACTATAATTTCCAGTCACGAAGAATATTTCGAACTGCGAAAACTGAGAAAGAAAAAACGAACCATAAAATGTGGCTTATATAATCATTATAAAAAAAGGTTAAGTGATGTAATTATTGGCCATCAATCGCCAGCTTGATGGCTTCTGCAAAATCCGTAAACTTGATAAGGTGGCCATAAAAATTATGAGTTAGCTTGCCCTTTAAAAACTCATTTTTTTCTCCATGATAAATTTCCCAGCGATTAATATAAAATAAGCAATTTTATTGCGTTTTAAAGTTATTAACAAATCTTGGACAAAATAGGCGTTTCTAATAAACAACCGAAAAGTTTCAACGACCTCGACCTGTAGTAAGTTTTTGAAATATAATTTTAACTTTAGACAAAAGACACTCCCCTTGGGCATGGCTTAAAACCCTGTCATCTTTTTTTAATCCCTGTTTTACATGATCTTAGAGAAATGCAAAACATTTTCAGTCGCTTTTCATTTTTTCCCAAATTAAATGGCGCCTTTTAAAGTCAAATGAAGGGTTTCCCAAACACAAAAAAAGCAAAAAGCCAAAAGACAGGAAAACAAAGAGCCCCTCCGAAAACGTTTTGACTTGTGCCTAAGAGCTGCGGTCTTGACTTGTGTAGCTGCAACTTGATGTTGGCTGGTGGAAAGGTCAAGGATTATTATACTTCATCATAACTCTATTAAGCTCCCCAAGTCCGCAGCGGTTGGCAATCTCCGGCTTACTCCGGCTGCCTGACTGCGCATTTGTTTGTATATTGTTATTATCTTTTTATGCGGCACACACGAGAGATCTACAACGGCAGCACAGCAGCAGCAGCAGTGGCAGCAGCAACAACCTCCCCACATGAGGCCTCCTGCCACTCTTTGCTCGATTCATAAACTTTAACTCCAAACCAAACCAACTCTCCGGTGATAGTTTTGTCTTTGAGCATTATTTTTGTGGGAGTTTTGTTGTTTAGTTTTCTATTACATGAAATTAAGTAAAAGTCCCAAAACGAAAGCCGCCACCTGAAACAAAACTAAAAAAAAAAAAAAACTTAATAATAAAAAGACATGAAACGACATCAAGAGCAGCCCCAAAAAAAAGCGAAACTTTGAATTCAGCCCGCGGTGAAAATGACTTTCATACGCGCGACACAGGTCGGCGTGAGCATTTGATTTGATTATTAAAAGTTTTGCATTACTTCCGAGAAATGAGAAATGAGAAATCGAGACTAGACACCGAGACACCTCAACTCGAAGCGCAGGTTCCAAACCAGATCCCTTTGATCGATGGAAAGCCTCTATAAGTAGGCTGTTGATGACTGTCTATGGCATTTTGTCTCGTGTCTTGCAATGATGCAGCACTATAATTACGATTTTGGGTGGGGGGGATGAACTGCACTAGGAGAAAAATGTGAAGTAAATAGTTAGGTCTTAGTTAAAAGTCATGAAAGTCTTTTTTATTACACCTTTTAGTTCAAAACCAAAGAAAAAAGGAATTTCCAACATTCTAAATCCGAAATTTCCTTTTAAACATAAAAATTCCCTTAAAAATCCCAAAAAAAAACTCTCCAAAAATCATCCTCTGCCCAATAAATTTCTCCAAGTGCGGCGATGAGCGCCATCTGGCGGCGCGTGACAGCCGAAGCCAAAGCAAAAGCCTGACGGGCAGGCAATGACGAGTTAATTTCTTCGCCTTCTCATGCATTAATTGAGCAGCCCCAGGCGGAAGGTTGGAATGGGCATGGATGGGCATCTCTTAGCCAACTAAAGATGATGGAGGTGGAGATACAGAGAGGAGAGGGAGAGTGCAAGGGAGATAGTCATCCAACTTATATAAGCGGGCATACACCATACACCAGACCCAGGCGACATTAAAGCCCAAGGAGGAGTGACCACAAGAAATGGCAAATACCTGGGGAGATTCATAGCACTAACCCCTGGTGTCCCCTCTCGAGAGATTCCCTCAATGGCCCATCGACACAAAAGGTCAAATCGCTCAAACTGGATGATGTTCATTAGCGACACAGAAAGCCACAAAGCGTGAAACTCCGGCGGCTACATCGATCTCTTGGCCTTTCTTTCCCAATCCTCATTCGATCCCTTCCTTGGCTCCCATTGTCCATGGCTTTTTGCTGTGACTCTCGACCCTTTTTGTCCGTGTTTACATCAAAAACGTGCCTCAAGTGTTCCTGTCACTGCACAAATTGGACATTTATTTGCTGCCCCAGTCACCACTTTTCCGCACTCCTCCCACTTTTCTTTGTATTTTTTTTTTTTTTTTTTTGCAGGCATTTTCCGTGGAAACCTCTTGGCCAGAACGTGTTAAGGATTTCGTTTCGTTGCGATTGGATTTGGTTTTGGTTTTTCGGGTAGCCCCAAATAAAAAAATAAATTCCCAGCAATGAGACAGCGAATTTTTTGGTTTTTGTGGCGCCACCCCATCCCTCGCCTTGCATTCGGGGGCGTGGCAACGATCCGCTTTAGCTAATTGATGGTTGCCAGCCATCAGGCAGTTACAGCTTGCAACGCCCACAGATGGATAGCTCTTTAAGCCAGACGAGGGGCACCACACCAATTATGCCACGCGGTGCTCTGCAATTTGTCAATTAGCTGATGAGATGCAGACTCCCACTGGAAATGGCTGGTAAAGACCAGTAAGGGGAAAACACCCCCCTTTGACTTTTGTTCCGTAAAGGGTGGAATGCATTTCCACGTTTTTATGGTTACTAAACAGATTTTCGGCAATGATTTCATAGGTTTAAACTGGGATTTTCAAGCGGTTAATACTAAACTTTCTACTTAAGATGATTTCCGGATCCTTAAGTTTATCCAGGATTAAATCCACTCTCCATTAACCTTTAACTTCCCGTCTATCTTTTTCAGAACTTCCTAGCTGCGAATGCTCAATGCTGGTGGAATGGACCCTTGACTGCTGCCACAAGAGCGTTGAAATACGCCGGACATGTGGCACCTGGAATGCTGCTGGTTACAGCTGAACCCTGCGCCCTGGAGGTTCTGCGAGGAGCCTTTGCCCGCAGCGTCCTGAAACCGCCAGCCACCTATGTAATCAGTTCAGTGGGTAAGTCTATAACCTTAGAACTTAGCTAGCCTAGAACTTAGTTTCGGGTTTTGCAAGTTCAAAATTAGATTAATGTTTTGAGAGGAAGATGGAGAATTCAACCGAAAAGAAGTACAGTTGTGTTTCACGTTACGAGCGACGGCGTGAATTGTCCAAACGGCGACTTCTTTTCTGGGCAGGACGTCTTCATTTGATGCCTCACGAGGTGGCTAGGATGTCGGAGGCGGAACTTAATCATAGATTATGTATGATCAAAAAGAAGGATATAGCTTTTGATCAGCGAAGGGCTGACTTTGAGCGATGGAAACAGATAAATCAGTTAAGATTTCTGATGTATGAAGAGCAGAAGAAGTACAACGAACTTTGTGGTCCGGGAGGTGCCTCCATCTGGAGTATTCTCTCAGTGGCCCAGCGGGATCTGGAAAATAAACTCCAAATGGATCGATTGCGGGGAAATTGTGAGCGATTCCCTTCTCCAATGTCGATAATGGAGGAGAATCGTCAATTGGGTGGCAGGCAGCTAGTTCTAGAACCCCTAAGATCTATCCTAAGTGGCTGTGATTCAGATTCTGAAGATGAACTGGAACTTAAGAAGGTCACTCAGTATTTGCCTACAAGATGGCCAAAAGGGAAGGGTTATACGAATATTTCCAACTCAGAGAGATCTCAACAAACTTTCTATGAAGAATCTTTCTCTAAAAGTAAATTCAATCTTCAAGCTAAAAGGGAAGACTCCTTGGAAAGCTTTCAGGACCGGCCAAAGCTGTGCTACTGTCCTCTCTGCGCCAAAAGACACCTGCGTTTGCCACCTCGCTTCTGACCAGGTGTAAATAAATCACAAGGCCTAGACCTGCATTAAGCCCTGTTCATGTTGTTTTCAATTTATTATAATACACAGCGGGAAAAAGATTACTTTACTTAAGAAAGTAAATTATATCAGAAGGATATATACAGGAGGACTAACTAGAGATACTTCTAGCACTTCCTTAAAGATTATCCATAATTTTAGCCCACCCCAAAAGGCGTATTTTCCTCATTTTCCCTGTGTAATCGAAGCGACATGCACTTCATCAAATATTGATGTGTCTGGCCTGGGTTTATGGTCTCTGGTCTGCTCCTCGGTGCCTCGTTAGCTGTCAATTAAGTGGACACCTGTGCAGTTAATGCGATGCTGCCGTTGCCCCGATGCCCATTTCCCATTTTCCACCTTTTTTCCCCCCTCTAGTTTTTCACACTTCCATTGATAGGGGAGAAGGGTTGCGGGGAGGGGAAAACCAAAAAGTCCATTGCCAACTTCATGAATTGATAAATGACCGGCCAGCCAGGGAGATCGTCGAAACTCTGTGGAAACTCTACGGCCTTTGGCGAACTTTTGTCGGGGAATTAATAAGCTGCGATTTGTGGCCACAACTCGTTGCAATATATATCTTTTTTTTTTTCTTGGCTAGCTGGGGAAGCTGCTCTGTCGGTTGATCTTTGGGAAATTCAATTGAGGAAATATTGCTGCTACAAACAAAGAGTTGCTCTCAAATAGTCGTACACCGAGAACTGCAGACGGAGTGCAACATATGTGGTGTGGCATGCAGAATCAGCTCCATGTTTGCTAATTAACAACTGCAATGGCGTAGAACCCATTAACTGTTAATTACCATAAACATGACAATTCCATTGGCAAACAAGGAGTCCCGACAATGTGACACGTTTAGATACGCTTACAAAGTCCTCTGGGTTGGACAGGAAAAACTTAATTTCTTTGTTGTGAAAGTTGTGAAAATTATAGAAAATATTGGTTGGTTTATGTTTAAGATTCTTAACTCAGTAAATTTAACGTAAAGCAATATACTCAAAAACTTGCTTTAATAACTTTCTGTTCCTGTAAAGAAAAGGTGCAGAAAAATTCCAACAAAAAAAAAAAATAATAAAATGACATTAAATATACCCATAAATCCTGACATAAATTTACATAAGTCATATTCATTTAAACACACTTCAGTGATTATTTATTATACGACTATAAGTTGTGTACAAAAATTGTCTGCCATTTTTATAGCCAATGTTGTACTATTAACCAGACTTTTATAATGTTGTCGCATTAAATTAAAAAAATATCACAGACTGGCAGCTGGGGAATAACCAATATCCATTAAATTATGCAGCTGGTTAGCTGGTCTCAAAATATATTTAAATAAATATTTAAAGACTTTAAAGTTAAACAAACTGTAAACTTATGAAAATAGTTTGTTTAAATCAGGGGTGCTTAAATTCGTCTTATGGCAGAGCTTTTTACTAACACAAATACTAGAAAGCGTGCACATATTTAGTGACGCTTTTGTGTTGATTTGCTGCTGTAAACTGAGAGAAAGAAAAATACTTTTTTTGCTAACCAATTTATCACTCATTTTACTGACTCTCCAAATACTCCACTGAGAAATAAGCTCGAAAGTGCAAACAGAAGTTATAAGGAATGAATTCCAGTGTAAGTGCTCGAGGATGATCCAGGAAGAAACAAGAACAAAATGTATTACAGTTATCAAAGGAATGAGGCGGAAAGAGGAATACAAAAAATTATTAGTGGAATAGCAGGAGTTCGAGGATGATACAGGAAGAAACAAGAACAAATAATATTGCCTTTGACGAAGGAATGAGGCGGAAGGAGGAATACGAAAAATTGTTATTGGAATTGCAAATATTTTAAGGATGAACAAAGAAGAAACAATAACAAATAATATACTCAAAGCAGAGGCGTTGAGCATCCCTGGTTTGAATATTTGAAAGAGAGTTTTCTTAAATATTGCTTAATGATTATAACTTGGCATTGCAAATTAGTTGGCCAACCATTACAGAACGTTGATCACATTGCTATTAGTCGTTGCGAAGTGGGAAATAAAAGCAACCATTGAAATGCCAGTAACAGTAACAATAACAACAACAATAACAATAACAATATAACAAATAACACATTGCATGCAAAAACAATCAATCAACGGCAATTTCTCGCTCAATTAGACAACAAACATGCCAAATAAAATGGCAATGGAAAAGAAACGAAGAAAAACCAAATTAAATTCAGTTTCGTGTTAAAGAGCCAAGCACTGGAGACTGCAATAGTAGTGGGTGGGGTTGGGGGAGAAAAAAAGCAGAGGAAAAAAATCAGAGAAAAATGCCGTCGCTTGCCGCTTTGGCAATTTGACAGCGGAATATCGGTGGAAGCGCCAGAGAAGCAAAATAGACAAATGGCAAATGCAAAATAGCTGGAAAGCGAGAAAATTATGCAGTTTCCCAGTAAAAATCAAGGGGGGAGTGGTGGGGTAGAGACTCTTAGATAGATAGAGAGCTGTCGGTAACTATGATGGCGAATAAAAAATAAAGAGCCGCAAATCAATTTCATCACGATTTCTCGTCGCTGCCATCTCTCTCTCCCTGCCTGTCTGCCCGCCTGCCCTCCTGCTTCTCTCTTTGGCTGAAAGTGAAATGTGACCATGACAGTGGTGAGGAGCCACAATCATCGATGGCCCGTCCGTCAGATAATTGTAACTTAATATTCGAGCCATTAACAAATCGCAAATCGGTAGAAATCAGCCAAGTCAACAGCAGCCAAGCACAGCTGACTATATTGCGAAAATCGAATGTCAGTCAAATGTTGCCTGTGGCAGCCACACATATGCAGATGGGGCAGTAAAAACATGAGATATCTGATGATGCTGAGGAAAATTTTATGGCAAATTTGTTGATTGAGCTAGAGATATAAATCTCTTAAAACGCCTTTTACTTTTACTTAAATATTTAAGTTTAAGTTTTCGGCTAATTTCTTTGTACATTTTTAACATAAATATTTGAAATTTTTTACAGATTTTTAATGCTTTTAAATATTACAAATTTTTAACATATTACAAAATAAGTCTAGTACAGCCCAAAAACAATACCAATATAAGCCAAACTTACTGCCAAATCTATTTTTTCCCAACTGTGCATTAACTTATAATTTCACCGTTAAGCTTTTGGCCAATTTCTTGAAAGGTTTGTTAACCTTTTTTTGTTTAAGGGGGAGAAATTCTCTAAAGCGTAACCAACTTTGCCAAAAAGAAAGACAAAAAAGAAGAGCGGCCAAGTCATTGTCATTGGGAGTTGTCTTTGCAAGTTCATCATTATCATGGTAGCTTGAGCACCACCAGCTCCACCGCCCCCTTTCGAAGAGCCTCGTCACCCACCCCTTTGGCAGAGCATTACCCAAGCGATTATTGTAATTTTATTGTTCTCTTTCTTCCATGGCCTGATCTTTTCCCCCGGATTCTTCTGTCTACACTGATTATGCTCGAACCCTTTGCTCGGTTAATGAGGTCAAACCATTTGATTTTCAGCTTTTGGTTACGCTTGGCGAATTTTCTACGGGAAAGTGTTCTCTGTGTGTGGAAAATCTTACCACCATTGTTTTTCTTTTTTCTTTTTTTTCACTCCCTTTGAACGCACCAAAAATGGCAGGCAATTTAACCAAATGCGACACGATTCTATGGCTGACATTATCCCATCATCTAAGACGGCCAAAGACTGCTGGAAGGTTGCACAACACAGAGGGCAAAACGAAACTCTTGGCAGGCTCCCAGGTTCAGGTCCACTAACCCCAAACTCATTGACCTTTAACACAGGCAAAAAGTGTCGCCAAACATTATTTTTTTTTTTTGGTTTTGGTTTTTGCCTCAGTCTGGGGCTTTATTTTTTATTATTTTCTTCGCTTTTTTTTTTGTTTTCATTTGCTGGCAAATCGTGTTGCTCCTTATTTGCCAGGCTATAAAGCCTGGTGGTGGTGTGATGGCGGTTTTGGCCCAATGTCCGACTGTCTCTGGCATTTTGTTGGTGTTGCAACCACGTAAATGTCAATTTGCATTTGCATTTCGTGAGGCGTTGCATAAACAGCAGGCTACTACTACGACCACTACCTACTCCCCTTGTTATCCCCATAGCCTTGTTTTCAATTTGTTACTGATCTGAAATATTTTTATTAACAGACGGAAACAATTAGCGTCGCCTCAACGAACGCAACAAGCGCCGGCCAAAAGCCATAGCTCTCCTTGTTTTTTTTTTATTTTGCGATCTGTGGACAGGCGTATCTGTTTCCTTTTGCCAGCGACTGCGTGGCCTTTTCCTCCTCCTCCCCCACAACACCCACCACCCCCAAGCGAAACGAGAAGAAAAACCAAAAATGGGAAATTGAAAACGCGCAAAAAACGTTTCAGACACAAAATCGTGATTGCCTTCGTTTGGCCGCCAGACATTTTCGTTGGTGCTGCTGCAGTGTGCTCCATATGTTGATGAACGAGGGAGGAGGGTCAACTATGGGGCGGTCTTAGGGGGTGGTGAGCCTGGCTACTTATGTAAAAAGGCATTCCAGGAAGAGCTATTCGAAATGGGTTCAAAAAGTGTGTCAGTATTAGTTTTAGTCAGCTATAAAATCGGTTTAAATTCCCCTAACTTTCAGTTACAAAAACCATATACTGACCATAACTAAACACCAAGCTTGACTAATGCCTTTGCTGACCACTTTCCTAATTGTAAAATCTCAATAAAATACTCTTACTGATTTACTGATTTTTAACTTGATGCCCTCCCCCAGCGTTACCCCAATCGCTGTCGCGCTGGTCTGATTGATTAATTGCCAAGTGAAAACGAAAGACACAGTCACTGTCCCAGATGACAAACTCCTGCCTGCAGCTGGAAAAGCTATTTGTTTTTTTTTTTTTCTTCTTTTTTTCGGCTTCATCTGCATTTTTATACTCGGGCCAAAAGAAAAAAGCCGAAAAACCGAAGCGAAGCAAAACGAGACTTGCAAATGATAATAAATATGAAAAAGACGTGAAAACGATTGCAGCGATTTTCCCACCAACGCTTTATAGATGGTGTCTCAAAGGCAACCTGCCGTCCCTGCCTCCTTCTTGTTTTTCCAACCCCTTTTTTCCGATCACCCCTTGCCATCCATCCGCCTCCTTGGAGCCGCCTCCTTTTTTCCCGCAACTTCATCCGTCTTAAGTAGAGTGAAAGTGTTGCGTTTTGGTTTCAAATTGTGGCCACAGTTGCAATTGTTGTTGCCTAGGCTTATGTTATTGTTGCTTTATATACTTTTTTTTTCTATTTTTTTATTGGTATTTCGTTGTTGTTGTTGTTGTTGTTGTTGCTATTTTAGCCGGCGGACACATATCCTTGTGTTCAATCAAACCAAAGCGCCGTCAACGCGACGGACTCTGAACGAAGTTAGTTTTCTTGGATCCCGGATCGTAACTTTGGCTTTTGGGAGTCAAGTGTTTTGTAGCTTGAAGGTTGTTTTCCACACAGCCTCCCACTGAACGGAGGGAGCCACCCCCTCATCAGCGTTAACCCCCCCATTACCCCATGGGGCTTAAACATGCGGCAAACATTTTTAGCGCTTGTAGTTGCCATGAATTTTTATGCAAATGAAAAATGTTTCTTGCGATTTCCATTTTTTGTTTTTTTTTGTTTTTGTTTTTTGTCTTCAGCTGCTTTGTTTTTTAGTTTTTATTTTTGTGTTTTTGTTGGCCATTACTGTGATGCAATTGCCGCGAGTAACAATAATCTTGATGTATGATTTTTTTTTTTCTGCTTCGTGGCTGTCTCTTATTATTAGAAAAAGAAAAAAACGTTAAAAATAAAGAGGAAATCTTGTGCGCCTATCGTGTTGTTGGCACATTTTCGCTTAGCTTTTCTCTCCAATTGGTTGGTCGTAGAGGTGGGCGCGGGCGGGGATGGGAGGTTTTTCTGTTTGATCTCATAACCGCCAGCGATGCCACGGCAGCATCATAAACTTTTAACGCTGTCCATTTCGAAATAATCAATAATTTTTGGCTATCGATGGCAATTTATTACTATTTCTACCCCCTTAACCCCCCTACCCAACCCATCACACATCTCACAGCCAGCTTTGTTTTCATTTTTAGCCATGGGGCAAGCGCACAGAGCAAGAGAGGAGCAAATAAATTAACACTTCCTTAAACGATAAACACCGAAAAATCCCCTGAGATATACTAACTCTTTGGCGTTGGAGAGAAATGCATTTCGAAATCAAAATGAAATGCCAATTGATAGTGGCAGTGTTGCTGTGTTTCTGAAATTTTTGTGGAGGCGTCACGAGTTTGCCTTTCGATTCGTTTATTAATTTTAATTGCAACGGGGTGGCAACGCCTGCCGGCTAATATCCAGCCCACGGATAAGCCGAACAAATTGCATACAACACTCCCCCATCTTAGGTTAAATCTGTGTCTATATATGCATCTCCCAGACTGTGCAACATCTAAGGAAAGTGGGTTGCGCGTGCTCGAGGGGCTGTTGGATTTTCAGGGGGAACCAAGAGATTACCACAAAAGCCTTGATCTTGGCCAGGTTTTTTTGGGATGTGGGCAGAGTGCGGTGTGAGTTCATTAATATGCAACATCTTTTATGCCACCAGTTGGGAAGCTGCAATGGCTATGGGGAAAATCATAGGAAAAAGAAGAGAAGCTAAGAAAAATCTAATGAATATTTAGTTTGATTTATTAGAGAAGTAATTTAAGAAACATGCATTTGAGGAAAGGTTTTAAAATCTTTAAGCGAACTCTTTCATAATGTTAACAATTTTAAGAAATAACCTTAAAAATATAAGTCATTACAACACCTAAACATGTCATGCATAACACAAAAAAGACATTAATATATACAAATTTAACATATCTAATTACTAATCTACATTATCCCCATTAAGTAAGACTTGTATTAAAGCAATTTTGGTCAAATATTCTCATTCAAAGTAAGGACTGTAAGATTAAGTACAAAAATAATTGCTGAAAGACAAGCTTTCCTAAATGGAGCTAATTAGTAACAAGCAGCTAAAGTAATAAAATGATTTAACATTTAAATTGTTTATGAAACCATTAAAAATATCTACAAAACAAAATTACCTCGTTAGATGCTTAACAACCAAATATCCCATAAAAAACTTAATAAATATTAAAAATTACTCAAACTTTGACTTTAACTTTCCCAATTGATGACCTTTTTTCTTTTATTAAATTTTTATTTTCAAGCCCTGACCTTCTCGTATAGCCTTCGAATATATAACTTTGTGCCCAATGCCAAAATGGCATTTCGATCTCTGCCCCTCTGGCCACAAATTTGTATGACTCGCGGCATCTGTTTGCCGCAAGAGTTTCCATTCTCATATATTACTTATGTGCCTATATATTTGTTTGTGTGTTTACCCAGCCATCTTTCATATTTGTTTATCTAGCCCCAATTTGGCTACTGCATTTGGGAAATTTATGATCAGGGCGTTGCTGCCAAAAACAGCGCCGAATGGCAAATTGCAGAGTGGCGAAATCAAAAAGGCAAATGTATAATAAAGAGGCGAGTGTGCCAGATGATAAGCGCTGGCAAATAAATCCCCAAACCGAAGTTTAACTTGAGGCTAAGATAGTTGGTTTTGTGGAAAATAGGGAGTGCAGCTTCCATAACTGGCGGACAAAAAATGTGTTTGGGGCCCGGCAAAATGGAGATTGAGTGCAGCTCCTCCAAGTGACGCTACACACAGACACAGAGAAAATGCAGCCCAAAGATTAATCGCTTAGCAAATTTACAAATGTGAAAGTGCGAGTGAGAGGGAAAGGCGGATTTCTGGCGACTGTTTTTCCAACTTGCAACTGCCAAGTCAAAATTGCAAGCTGCTAACTCAAAACAACCAACTGCAAGCTGCGTTGGATATTGCCGCTAATTGTCCTTGACGACGGAGCATCCCACATGGCATTTTATTTTGTCTTTGGCTGATGGCGCAAATTGCTGCCGGGTATTGAGGCAGTGAGAAAAATTAGTTAGGAAAAAGTATAAAAAAGGGAAATCATGGTCCAGAAGCTTAAAAAGATAGCTGGCTTTCAGAAAGAGGGAGAATGAAAACTTTTCCTTCAAAATTTTCTTGTAAAGTTTTTAGTTTTTTTCTAGAAATTTTCTTTTTAGTAAAACATTTATCTAAAATTATGTAGACGACATTATTCACTGTGTAATTTTACAGCCGCAGGCTGCAACGGAAAGTGAAAACTTGAAAAATTGATTATGCAACTGCCGCAAGGACGTTTGTGGCCAAGAGGCTTGCCTGTGCTGACTTTGTGCCTCAGCCTGCATCTCTTGCGGAGGTCGTCACACACTTGGTCTGATTTTGCAGTCATCGCACCTCCCCCTCTTTGTCACTACCTATCTATCTATCTCTCTCTCTGTTTATTATTGCAATTTTGAGGCATGCCACTAGACACTTGCCTTCGGGGGCGTTGCTTGTCGTTGATTTTTTTTGCCACTTTTTTAGAGGTTAAGTTGCAAGTAGGAAGCATTCAGTGGAGGCGCATTTAATTTACGGGCACGATGCGGCAACAGGGCAGGTACAAAAATAATAATAAAACGACACCAAGGTGTGCAGTGGCTCTTCATTTTGTTTTGATTTTTTCTGCCTGATGGGAGCGCGTTTTAATTAAGTATACGCCGCGTGAACGATGCAACTGCCATATACGGTAAAGCCAGCAGATGGATGCGGTAATTACAGCGAGAAAAATTTTGTAACTTAACTTCAAAAAAAAAAACTAAATAAAGAGATTTAAAATTTATAAAAATTTTCAAGTGCATTTTCCTCTGAGCCCATCGAATCGATAGCCATCTCATGCATATTCCAGCAGACTCCGTCTGACCTCCTGCCAGCGCAGAGAGGTCAAAACTAAAAAGCCAAACTCAATTCAGGCGGTTTAATTACCCCGTCACTCGAACGTGGCCAAAATGCCAAGCGAGCCAAGGCAAGTCTCCCAGGTGGCCACCCAAAATGCCAGCGAAAAAAGTTGGAGTTCGTTGGAAAAAATGCGAGCAAGTTTAGGTGACCAAATGGGGCAGTGGTTCGTCCAGTGATTAGCCATATAAGCGGCCACATTGCACATGATGTTGTGTGATTTTTTCACTGACCACACCATCTCTCTCCTTGACATTTTCCAGGTGACATTGACGATTGCATTGTGACGCCAACGGTTCAGGGACAGTTCACTCCACTTCCAGAGGCACTCTGCGATGTGATCATGGACCTCACAGCGGAGGGTCAATCGGCCACCATTGAGCATGTACGCGGCAAATTAGGTGCCAGATTTCCACACATGACCACACCTGCCACGGAGGTTATCTACGACTCCCTCGCCCAGCTAATGCAGGAGCAGAAGATCTACCAGACCTCCAAGGGTTACTTCATCTTCACGCCAGAGTGAGTTTAGCTAATGAATGTTTTAAAGTGATGTCTCTGATCTACTCTAATCCTCTCCAGACGCCGACGCAGTCGATCAAGGCCGCGCAGTAATCACCACCAACTAAATGGAAGCCTGGCCTATGGTCATTTGGCGGAGGAGGAGCAGCAGCATGGCGACGATGTGGTTCCCCAGGAAGCTCGCACCATGCTGATGTCCAACTCCGAGGCCTTGCACTCACTCTATGGCGAAATATCAACGGAGCGGGACGGTGACCTCACCCACCAGTGCATCCAAACGAATCTGGCGGATGTCATTTGTGGCGGTGAGTACTTACATCTTAATCGCAATTAAATCAATCAATGTAATCTGTTATTGATCAATAAATAACTTACAGGCAATCCCAATGACAAGATCATCTATCCAAGGGCGGCGAAGCGACGTAGTGCATCGTTTCCAACGCCGCGCAGCTTGGAACGCCGGCACAGTTTGCGGCTCTTTGGCTCATCGAAGCGCCTGCAACGCTGCGCCTCCACGCGAAGTCTGTCCAAGACCTACGCCCAAACGTTAAACACCACGGACAGCAGCAGTTCGGAATACCAAAGCACAGATTCGTCATCACCCAGTAAGTTTAGGAGATCTTTATAATCATGGAACCTCCTCTAATCTTGATATTTTTTCTTATAAGAAAAAGGATCTTTGCTCTCACGCCTGTTCCGACGCAGCGGTCGAGCCAAGCAGCGACAAATTGAAACCTATTCGGCCCAATTTCCTCCAGCCGAATGGTTCAACACCAGAGCCGTTCACCTGCACAGCGTGGGCACCCAAACGGCGGAGCACGTAAGATTAATAAGTCCATAAGTTAAAAGAAAAGTTGTAAAACCTAAACCTCTTCCCTATAGGACATGCCCGTAGCCCATACGCTGTCCAACTCGACGTTCTACGACGGCTCAGAGCTTAGCCAGCGCTCCTCAACATTGCCCCGTCGCCATCGACGCCACATGTCAAGCGAGTCGACGTTTCTGATTTCCTCCAGGGACTGCTCGCCCATACGCCGCCGTTCGCCAGTCTACTGCAGCAGTTCGCTACCTCGTTCCACGCAGTCGATACCGGCCACCACGGCCAAGACAAATCACTCCTCCCGTTTGAGTCATGGAGTACACGGAGGATCAGTAACACCAACGCCGCCAAAGACGGCACAGAAGTCAGTGATCGGAAAGCACATATTTGAGAGCTCGCCATCGAGATCCGCCACGCTGAAAGCGATGGCGGCCAAACGCCACACGGACGGACTGATCATTAATAGTTGCCTGGACAACAAGGCCACGTATAGGAGCCTGCAGAGCAGTGGTCCATCGAGCCTGGAGTCCTGCAAGACCACCTCAATGCTGGCCAGCGGTCCATCAAGCATTGACAGCGGCAAGGTGTCGTTTAGCCAAAAGACCAGCGGTCACTCTAGTCTGGATTCACAGTGCTCCACCAATACAGCAGTGATAGCGCCATCGTCAAACAGTAATGGTGGGAGTTCTCGTTCGATCCTCCTGCTAAATGGTTCTCCAAGAGGGACACCACGTCATCAGGCCATGAGGGCGCGAGTTGCCGAAGCGCAGGCGCAAAGACAAAGAGCCAGTACGCCCAGTCGCATTCTAGAGGAAATGATCTATCCCCCAGGTGGAAGCAATGGAGTTCCCACTTCCAGTAGCAATAATTCCATTACACTGCAGGTGACCACCTCGAATGGAAATCAAAGTATCCCAAGCACAAAGATCTTTGTTCAGAACTCACCAGTAAGGAGTGTTATAACCCTGGAGAATGGCAAGATGCTGGAGAACTCCAATGTGTTCATCATCAACAATGAAACGATGACGAACGAGAAGGGTGAGATCATCAAGAAAACCTTATCCAAACAGACTCAGGCTGCTCCGGTGGCCACGTCAACGCCAGTTAAGCAGGAAACTGTTTCCGAACAGCCACTCAGCGAAACGGAGGCGAATTCTGAGACCTGCGATTCCATATCCTTTATCAGTGAGAGTTCGCCGGAGAACACGTGTGCCGTGGAACCGGAGACTCCTATTTATGATGGAGGAAAGTATGCTAAGAACACAAATAACGATGCCACCATGAACAACAGTCGGAAACTGTGCCTCCAGCTGGCCAATGGCATTGCCTATAAGAACAATGTGCTGAAGAATGAATCCCAACCAAATTCACCAAGTGCAGATGCTCCTCTGAAACTGGCAGCGTTGGCCAAGCAGGATTTTGAGATTGCTGGCTCGGTGGGCAACCTGCATTTCTACGAGAAGAGTTCCAAGGATGTGGGTGCCTCACAGAGCAACAATATGATGATGAACAGCAGTACCGACCTCAAGAATCTGTGCTATGAGTCAGTGTGTCAGCTGCAAAAGTGTTCCATGAATGGCGATGAACTGGCATTGGCTCATCTGCTCCGCAAGTCAAGTAATCCTTTGGGAAGTGAGCCCAATTTGGCTCTTAAAGATTTGGCTAATGATAAATCCATTGATAAAGAAGCCATCGACAGGCGTCTTAGCTTGACCAAGGAATCTTTGGAGCAGGGAATGGGCAATGTCTTAGCCAATGGCGGTGAGGAGCTGTATAACTTTCCCAGTCTGACCGATCTGTCCTTCAACTTTACATCACTGGCGGCGAGAAAGATCCTTCAAGGTGTAAGCCTAAACAGCATTGATACCCTGGTGGAACTCAATTTGGCAGCAGCGGCGGCAGCGGTGGCAAGTAATGCGCAGGAAAAGCAGCAGAATAACCAGCCGGCGGCGGCAGGACCAACGGCATCCGTTTGCACTGACTTTGGAATGGTCTAAAACAGAGGCAGACGCCTCCGCCCCAACAGAGATCATCGCTGTGGGTATCCCGGAGAGCCTCTTAGCCTCTTAGTTTAATCAAAACGAAACAAAACAAAAAAAAACAAGATCATAGGGTCTAGATAGGAGTTATCTCTACTCTACGCATTTGGCAAGCAATCTTATGTAATTTATTACAATTTGATTTCCTCCTCCCCCCACCCCATTCGATAGCAGCAATTTTTGTATGTATTTTCTTTAGGGTTTTTTCTTATCCGGAAGCAAACTTTTATTTACAGTGCCAAAATACGTTTAGATTAATTTTAATGTTTATTATTTTGATATATCCTGTAACCGATATATGCCAGTTCGTATTTCGCTTTCGACCACAGAGACACAACCGCCAAGCGGCCAACTTCTGTTTAAGCCAATTCGATTTATGTAAAAATCCATAAAAAAAAATACAAAACAAAATACTATGTGTTATCCTTACTTTTTGTGTACATTATTCAAAATAATTGTTTATACTAACAAAGCCCAAAATGCAATCCTATCTACTATATGCAGAGACAACCGAGATGTACTACGAACATAGAATTTAGCACTTAAACAGAAATACAATAATTTTGTACAAGGCCTTAATTAGTAAAGTCAGCAATAATACTAAATAAGTTGAATCACTAATAAAAACGATATAAACGAGTAAATAAGAGTTTTTGTTATTAAAGGATTTCCTTTAAGAAATATTAACGGTAAATCTTTACAGCAACGGTGCTCAAATTCGTCTTACGGCAGAGCTCTTACTAACACAAATACTAGAGAGCGTGCACATATTTAGTGACGCTTTTGTGTTAATTTGCTGATGTGCACTGAGAGAAAGAAAAATACTTTTTTGGCTAACCAATTTATCACTCATTTTACTGACGCGCCAAATAGTCCACTGAGAAATTAGCTCGAAAGTGCAAACAGAAGATATAAGGAAAGAGTTCCAGTGTAAGGGCTCGATGATGATCCATGAAAAAACAAGAACAAAATGTATTACAGTTATCAAAGGAATGAGGCGGAAAGAGGAATACAAAAAATTATTAGTGGAATAGCAGGAGTTCGAGGATGAAACAGGAAGAAACAAGAACAAATAATATTGCCTTTGACGAAGGAATGAGGCGGAAAGAGAAACACGAAAAATTGTTATTGGAATAGCGCAGCGAGAACTGAAAGCTTTTGGGCGAGTAACTCCCCTGCTTTACAAATTCACATTAAAATTCCCATCAAATAAATAACTTCGATCAACCGATCATTGGTATTATTTCTTTTCATTTATTGAAATTTTTAAGTCTTTTGCTTTTTCATATACATATTGTTTTTTGTTTTCATATACTTCGTGTTTGTTATACTCATATTTAATATTTTAGGTTTTGGGTAGTTTTGGCTCTATAAATATGAATAATTATAGCTAATTGCTTTTAAATTAATATTCAGGGTATATACACACACACGCGGTATACACGAACTTCATTTGTTTTCCATTTCCTTTTTAGTTACACAAACATAAAGTCGGGTAAAGAAAATATATATATATATTTATATATAATATAATACATAGCGCGCACACTTAACGGGGGGTGGTGGAGTGTTAATATATGCTAATGGAACTATATTCATAAATCGCTTTTGTAATTCGTAAAGGATTAGATCGAAAAAGTGGGGAAAATAGGCCTAGATATGGCCCAAAGGGGTGGGGAGGGATAAATTGATGTTTTTTCCAAGACTTTGGAGAAAGATTAGAATTATACAATTAATACATATGCATATTTAGAGAATAGCTAGCGTAGATCGTGGGTTGTAGTATTATATTATACTGATGTATATACAATTAGTTTTAGAAACTTATTTTTAGTGTAGTGTAGATAGTGTGGAACAGACAAATGTTTTAATTTATTTACATTAATATTAGCAGAGAACGAAGGAACATTTAAGAATTCACTATATAATCGTAAGCTTTGTGTGTGTGTGTGTGTTTGTTAGGTGTTAAAGAAAATGGCGTTCGGTTCGTTTCGATTCGGATTATACAGATATCTGATTCTATATATGCTAATATAGATTTAATAATTATCGCTTTGCTCAATAACTAAAATGTACAATAAAGATGACTTAGACCTCCGTCGACCGTCCGTTCTCATCCGTTCGCGACTGCTTCCGCTCGCGTCCCGGTATTCGGCCAGTTAGTGGCTGCGCCTGCGCCTGCGCCTGTGCCTGAGCTTGAGCCTGGGCCTGAGCCTGTGCCTGTGCCTGAGCTTGCATTTGTGCCTGCTGCTGTAGCATTTGCTGCTGCTGCAACATATACGCGGCCTGTGACTGTTGCACAAAGTTAGCATGGGTATAGGCCTGCATTCCCGGTGCCGCATACACATTGCTAGGTGTGGCAATGGACGCCGTTGGCGGCATGTTAAATCGCATCTTGGCTGCCGCCGCTGCATTAGCTGCGGCCGCAATAGCAGCGGCATTTTCCCTCGAGGCGCTGGATGTGGTGGTGGATTGGAACGAAATGCTCATGCCGCTGTCCAAGGAGCCAACGCTGCCTCGTCGCTGGGGTTTCTCATTGCCAACTGGAATGCAAAACAAGACAGGTCAGTAAGGTCTTTGTCATTTAATCTTAACTAATAAATAATACTTGTTTTAAATAAAATAAACATGCTATCTTAATATGAGGTAAACTCACATTGCTCGTGCATATCGAGAAGGCTGTTGCTGAGCGCACTGCGCTTCAGCTGTTGCGAGGAATCAGCGGAGTTTGGAGCCTGCTCGCCGGCTGCCTGGGATCCCGGTTGATAAGGACATGGGCAGACCTCTACATCGGCAACGCCGCTATCACGATTTTCAGCATTGGCTGGTGCTCGATTCCGCGCCGACTTCTGACGCTCCAACTCGGCCTCAATGCGCAACGATTCCATCTCGTCCATCTCGCTAATGGACTCCTTGAGATCCTCGGCAAACTTGCAGCGATCGTGTTCGTTGCGGGCATTGAAGGTGATCAAGATCTTGCCATCCACCTTCTGGGAGAGCTGAATGCAGAACGGATAGTTGGGCATGTCCAGCAGGGTGACAACGGTGCCGCACAGCGGGAAACTGTTGCGGAATGTGTACGTCACGGAGGTCTTCTTTTTGCTAAAGATTTTGGTAATGACCAGCAGATCGTTGAACAGGAACACCTCGCGCTGATGCACACCAGGTCGCTCCTTCTTGTTCACATCGGGGATCTCGTACAGCCGGCAATAGCAGACAAGCCGTCGATGAGGCAATGCTAGATTTGGTTTCTTTCCCACAATAGTGGCTTGGACCTTCATCACCTGAGTGACATGGTCGCTGCCAGGTTTGAATTCATCGGACTTGACGCGATCATAAATGCCCATCAACATGTCCTTGTCGATGTCATGACAATCGTCGATGCCGCGCAGATTCTTGATGAAGTCCTCAACGCGCATGCGACGCTCTGGCTTCAGATTGGGCGTGTGCAGATCCGTGTTCAGCATGATGATGGCAAAGGCCAGGACAAAGATCTGTAAAATAAGCAAGAAGAGATTAGTGAGGAATCTAAATTATAAAAAGTTAATAAACCTACCGTATCAGATGATCTCAGTCGCCCCACGATGTCCGCATTGCATTCACAGTAACGCTGCGAGAAGATCTCCATCAGGCGCTCAATCTTTTGTGCCTCACCAGGCATTCGGAAGTAAGCCTGGAACTTTCGCAGAGCCACATCCACCTGACGTCCTGACAAATCCAACTCCAATGCAAAACAACTCAGCACAGCCATGTTGAACTGATTCTGCAGATTGCCCAAATACTCGCCGATCATTTGCCGGGACAAACCCTTACGGGTGATGAGGAAACGGGCAACGCCCTGTGGTGTATTCTCAAGGAAACCTCGCCTGATCAGATAGGTGATACCCTTCTCTGGCTTCTTGTTGAACAGATTTAGACCAACGCGATATTGCCTCTTGCGTATCGTTTCGGACATCTTGTAGTTCTGTGCCACTCCAGCGGCAGCAGCTGCCGCCTGCAATTGCTGCTGTTCATGTTGCTGCTGCTCGTGTTGTTCGTACTGAGCGGCACTCGTATGCGAGGAGATGGCATGGTCATCGGCTGGTGGTAATCCTCCTGCTGCTGTGGCTGCCGCAACGGCAGCTTGCATCTGAGCGGCATACCCGCCGGCTCCTCCTGCCACACCACCGCCTGACACGGCACCCGCTGAATCCGCCGAGTGTGTGGAGAACTGTTGGGAGCTATTAAGGGCTGTTCCACGTTTCCATGTATGTGGGGAGTTGCTGCGATCTGAACCCAAATCACTGTTGAGGTTACGTTCCGCTGAGGTCACACTCGAATCCGATCCGGAACTCTGCACGGAGGTCAGACTGCCGTTCTCGGCGGTCTTGCACAGACCATTGGTCCTCAGCAGCGATGGAGGTGGTGGCGTTTGACGTTGCAACAGCAAAAGCTGTGTCTGCTGTTGGGCTGTTATGGAGCTAGTGCGTTTGGGCACTTCTGGTGGAACCTTCTTGCTGCTGCCACTGCCGCTGCCACCGCTACCGCTACCTGTGCTGCCACTGCAACTTGGTGTGGGTGTAGTACTGCCGCCCTTGGGTCTCATATAGATCTGGGCAGCCGAATAGTAGGGCGTGTGCGGGGAGTGGCCGCTGGTGTTAACCCACGAGGCATTTAGCGAGGTGTCCGCCGAACTGGCATAGCTCAAGTCATGCGGTGATCCATGGTAACTAGTGTAGTAAGCAGCCGCCGTGGGCAGTGCCTGGGCATTGTAGTAATGCGGCTCGGCCGCGTGCAGAAGATTTACATGCGGATGAGAGGCCAGAGCAGAGGTGCTGACGGTCGAGCTGGATATGGAGGCGGGTGAAGCTCCTATAAAGAGTGAAGTTAAGTTAATAAAAAATTTCCAGAAAAATATTGATTGCCCTCAAGGATAATAGATCTTTTGAACGTATACATCTAAGCCTGTTTTCTGATTTAAATTTTTAAACAAGTTAATCTTAATTGCTTTGATTAGACTAAAAACATTGCCGAGTTAGAGATCAAAGACCTTTCTTTAAGGCTTAGAGTATCCATTACTGTTTGGCAAAACAAAGTTAAGACGCAAAAATTGTTTATGCCCGTTAAATTTGACCATTAAGATAAAGTCAAAATATACGTTTGGTTGATAAAGACTGCGGGCTTAAATATGTTTAAATATTCCTTAAATTATATATTTAAATTGCATATTTTCTTGTTTACTTTTAAATATTTGTTAATGTAGAATAACCTTGTTTATATTTAATTTTGAAATTAACCTTCCTTGAGATCAGTAAACTCATGTTTGCTTGGGAAAAGTCACCAAAAGGGTTACCATAAAAAGATTAAGAAAGCCAATAACATAAAGTTAATTCGCGGAAATTTTGGAATGCCCTTTGGGGTCAACACATTATGAAAAATAAACAAATTTCTTGTTAAAAATATAAGAAAAATGTATTTCAAATTTAAAAGATGACAAATAATCCAAACTGTCACTTAATCATGAGTTAACAATTTAGAAATCCCAATCTTTATCTCCCTAAAACTACCCTAAAACTGATGCAATTTTCGTCATACTATCTATTATCCATGTGGCAGACGTCGTTCTTTATCTTTAAACTCACCTGACTGACTACGCGGTATGGGACTGCAGTCCAGCTGACGTCGCTCCCGCATGGAAAGCGAACGCGTGGGAGGAGTCCGTGATAAGCCCGGAGAAGCTGCTCCCGCTGGACCAGCCATAATAGTGACACGTGGCTGCTGTTGTTGCTGCTGCTGCTGTTGTGCTGCCGCCAATTGTTGTTGTTGCTGTTGCTGCTGCTCGGTAAGCTGAGATTCGTTGGCACTGCCATAGGCTGACGATGTGGAGGCACCCTCTTCGGCCAAACCAAGACTACTGGCTGTTACGACCATACGCCGGCTAAGACGTTTCTCAGCCTTGGCCATGGCTGTGATCGAGGCGAACTTCTTGACCATCATGTAATGACGAAAGGCGCGCTGTATAGTGACCGCTGCGTTACGGGCTCGAACTCCGCCGTACTTGCGCTCCAGCAGCTCGATCTGCTTCTCCAACAGATCTTGTGAGAGTTCGTAGCTGTTTGAGGGGAAGATCGAAAGATATAACCGATAAGTATCTCTTTGGGTATCCGGTGTGTGTGTGTGTGGAAAAAAGCGATCTGCTTGGTTGGCTGGAAATTTGCAAAATAACTGACAAAAGTCTACTCCGAAGACCGAATGTTTTTGCCTCAACCGATAAGATAGCGCACGAGTAAAGTATCTTTGAAATACAATTCTCACTGCTGGCGGCGTCGTCACTGTCGCCCCTCTGGGCTATCGACCTGATTAACATTCGCCTCTCAAGGGGCGGCAATATAATTGCTTATTGTTGTATGCCTCGCGCCACCAACAATCGTTGATTTCGATTGATATTCCATCTTTAGTTAGTCATAAAGTTAACATCAAAAAGAAAAACTTCCCCAAATTGCAAGCTTGTATCTGCCTCTCCTTAACATATCCCAAGACAGCTGCAATATATCCTCCTCTTGAAATGATATATTTGCCTATATAATAAGATGTACTGCAGTAAAAGGAATATTTACCTGACCACAGCTATCTAATCTAAGATACCACCTTAATATCCAACCACTGCCTAGGATGATGGCTTCTTCAGGCCAAAGTCCAAACTCATTCAGCTGACGAATGGTCAATCCCCAGAAGGCACACTTTTGCTTTTCACAGATAACTAATTAGATAAGCAATGATGAGCTTCTGTTGCTACCCTTCCAGCTTGATGGATTGTTTACTCTAAAAATCTGATGAAATGCCTTAAGTAGGCAATTAATGTTTATGAAAAGTCTGTCACCAGAATGATTTTCTCATTTTTGGTTCAATGTTAAGCAAATTTAAACACAGAAATCAAAACTAAGCATTGCCATTTGGGTTTTTTGTTTGTTTACAACACACACATTCCCCAGATAATGAATTTTTAATCATGAGAATTCTTTAATAACTGATAAGTTGAGGTGACAGTGAATAAGCTCAGGCCATGAATAATTTATTGCTGATTTTTTTTTAGACATATCTCTGAGAATTGATAACTGGCAAAAATCAGATTAAATAAATTGAATTGATAGTCAGTTAGCTAATCTAATGGCTAGCTTTGAAGTCAGTTTCTAGAAAAAGAATTGTAAATATAGACTGGTCAGCTGATATTGATAAGGGGTATAAAAATATCATCAGATTTATCAGTTTATTTTAGGAATTACTTTAAGGAATGATTTGGGAAAACTAGTAGCCTTATTTTTATGGTTTTAATACTAGATTAACCTCTATTTAGTAAGCATTTCTTTTTCAATATCTAATGAAGTTCGTTTTTTATATAGTCAATCACCTAAGTAAAACTCCAAAACCATCTGCTCATCATTACATTACTCTGGGGGAACCCCTCATAATCTTCCTCCCAAGCACACATTTTGATAAAACATTCAAAAATCTTCTACTGTTTACACCCCTCCAACTATACACTTTCTGATAACGAATGTTTCCCGGAAATCTTCCTGTTGAACCCTGAAAAATATACACTTTATGACTTTATGACTTTCCCTACTTCAGGGGGCAGCCTACCCCCTGAAAATGTCAACATCCTCACCCCCTCCCTCCCTGGAGACAACACTTACGCTGACTGAGCTCGCGTTCGCTTGAGGACATCCCCGCCATTCCGGATGGAGTTCTTCTTGTGCATATTCTGTTGCTGCTGCTGTTGTTGCTGATGTTGCATGATCACACTGGTGGCTCCTGAGCCCAGGCCAGTTCCAACACCACTGCCAGCTATGACCACGGCACCGCCATGACCATGATGATGGGCATGATGTCCATGGCCATGAAGCATATGATGATGATGATATGGACCACCACCACCACCCGTTGCCGTGACCTGCATATAGTGACCTGCTCCGGTCTGATGCAAATGCTGCTGTTGCTGATGTTGCTGGAGGTGCTGTTGTTGCTGCTGCTGATGGCACGTGGGATACTGTTGGATTTGGTAGACCATCTGGGGATGCTGTTGGGCAGGATAGTTGATGGCGGCCGAGGAGCTATGAGCGCCGGGTGCATAGTGATTCTGCAGGTAAACATAGCCGCCAACACTGCCACCATCTGTGGCATTGCCAGATCCTGGCTGTTGCCCACCAGCCAGTTCATACTGTGTGGAACCGCTACGTTCTAGGCTTTTTTGGGGAAAGCTGGAAAAGGAAAAGAAAAATTGGTTAAAACATTGTTGCCATCTGAAGGGGCTATTATATAGGTGAAGGAGGTGTTTCCTACTCTCGAAAGATTATCAAATATTGATATTTATTATCACAAGTGTTGCTCTTGAATTAGCCATGATTGGTCTTTAATTTAAACAAATGACGCAATGTTTGTAGATTGTTGATAGAATAAAGCCAGTTAGTTTGTTTTTTAAATTATAATAACTACGTCATATAGAAATCTATCTATATAATGATAACCTAAAGTCTGTAATCCACTCTGATTAACTTCCAACATAACTAATGGCTTTTCCTTAGGAATTCCCAAACTTTGATATCAGAAACCAAGCCTTGTTTTTTTTCTGTTTATCAAAAGTAGAAGATAAGAGAACTTTCGTTTTCTGGGTCAGCGGAGAGGTTGGGTTCCTACCTTTCGCCAATTATAAAACCCGATATGCAAATGATCATGGCTGATGGAAAAAATATCACAAAACGCTGAAGATTTATGCACTCAGAGGAGGCGGCGTGGTGGTGTGCTCGGTCTTCTTTCTAGAGACACATTGAGGCACAGTTATAGACTGGGAAGAGAATCACAAGATCTCGCCACTGCTAGATTGTTGTTAATTAATAAGCGACTCGCGATCGCTTTACAATGATATTCAAATTGAATGTCGGTCGATTTGGGGAGAGGCGTTAGAGGAAGCACTAAAAAAAAAACTAAAAACCCGGCGGATATATATAGTGGGCCAGGGTAACGTCCGATCCCGGCGATGTTCGCGTTTGAACTAAACCGAGCATTCGACGACCACTTCACAAGGTGATCGACGAGGAAGAACCAAACTGCGCAAGCGCGTCGGCGTTCCCTCTCCCTTTCTCTCTTCCAAACTCTCTACCTATCTCACTTCCTCTAGAAACGTGTTTCGCATGGCTCATTAAATTTGTGTGTGCGTGTCAGTGATCATCCTACACACTCATACTTATACATAACCCATGAATCCCACACAAAATGCATCTGTTTTGTTTTGCCCTCGTCGGGTTACCCGAAAAAAAAAGAACAATTGTCCTACCCTTAAGCACAAAGAAAGCGGATAGAGTATATAGAAATCCTAAGCGTAAAAGGATCCATTATTGGAAAGAGATAGCAGAACAGGTAGAGAGAGAGAGAGAGAGCAGTGCCATATGTTGTAAGGAAAAGTGAAGGAAATGATTAGCCCACGATGACAAACTTATTGATCGGCGCAGGGATTCTGAATGCTATTGGATTGAAGCAACAATTGGGTGGATATTGAACGAGATTTTTGGCAGATATATTATATAGGGGATGGGGGATTTCTTTAGGGATGTTTGGCAGTGAAATCAACAGATGAAAGCAGAAAAAGGTAGAATCTTTAAAGAAGAAACCAAAGGTAGGTACAAAATAGCTTCACTTTAAGGATTTTGATTTGGAATTTCTTGATAGATTCTTAGTTTATAGATTTAGAACTGCAATTTTGTTATCTTGAGAATAAAAAGTCATTTTTAAGGCTGCCTCTGTGATTTATAAAGATTAGTTCTGCCTCAAAAACACATTTCTAAAACCTTTTCAAATCCCTCAAAACATTACCCTCCCGCTAATTTATCCACCTTAACACTTAATTGATTTTCCCTTAGCTTAAAGACGAGTTAGTTTACCCTGAAATCAAAATTCGTTTTGCTAGAAAAACTCAGAAAAATGCATTATGCACGTATGCAATACGAATGACTACCAGAAATCTTCTCGCAGCAGGTCGAACCCAAAAGATAGACATTAAAAACTCAAAGGCAGCTGCATATTTGCACCTATAGAGGTGAACCGAAAACAGGATCAGCAGGATTGCTGAAGGATAACGAAAACAGAAAACAAAAAATTGAAAGGGGCATCCTTGTTGTCTATCTCGCTTACACTCCTTTTTGGCCAGTTTTCCAGCTGCACCTGGCATGGCTTTGTATGGGTTTCTTCTTTTTTTTGTTTTTCTGAAAGGACAACAACAGCAGGTAGTTTTTGCTGTTATTGTAGCCACTTCTCCTCTCACATCCCTCTGATTTTTTTTTTTAAGAGTCCTGCTTTCGAAAAGGAAAAACACCTGCCACACGTCGCCCTAATTGTTTGCCGTTGCACGTTGCACATGTTGGAGCTAAAGACTGCCCGCCCGTCTGTTTGACCATCAAAAAGCAAGTATCTTTGTTTCTGTATATCTGAGTATCTCGTGTATCTTGTATCTCAGCTGACACTTAAGCAGCGTCGATGCTCGCGAGCCAAAACTGCAGCGGACTTCCTACTGCTTTCGTATGCAACAAGTGTCCGAAATCGACGTTGACGTGACCCAACCGCCGATGGCCTACTCGCCGTAATTATTATTGATTTTACATTAGATTTCTCGGGTTGGTTTTTTTATGTGCATTTCGAAAATAGTGGGGGGGCTTAACGCTTATGGAGTGTGCCACCAGCGGGCCAGACAAATGGGGGATGGAGGAAAAACTACAAACAGACCGCTGCCTCGATATTCAATGTATTTCCCTGCATATCAACATCAATATTAAAAGCTGATTAGACACTCGAATCCCGGATTCGTCGCCGGGTTTCTCCAACCCTTACTGGATCCGCACGCGGTCGATTGGCCTCCAATTGAAAACGTTCTCGATCGGCTGGAGAGCCCTTGCTTTGCAAGAGAAAAGCCAGAGGAACGCCGAGGACCATCAGGACGACAATAGCGTAGATGATAAGAAAATATCTCAGATCGAAGTTGTTGAATCCATCAAACTGTTTAAGGTTATGCAGTATGGTTGGCTCCATGGTGGTTTGAAGTTTTTTTTCCAGTTTTTGCTTTGGCCAAGTGGTGGCAAGAAACTTTAAGAAATTTAGAAAAATGTAGGACAAACTTGACAGATAAGTTAAGGAAGAATGATTTTTCTGAGATTTTTAAAGTTATTTTCAGCCTTTTATTTATCTTCAGAAAATTATTTTTCTTTATTTTATAAATTTCTTCAATAATCTCTTTAAAAAACTGATTTATTTTAATAATTTTTTCAAATTAAGTTTTATTTTTCTGGTTTCCCTTGTGGATTGTATGTATTTTACATTGCTTTAATTTTCTGTTATTATCAGCCTGAAGATATGCAACACTATTTGGTTAACATCCACACAAAATCCACAGCCAAAATCAGACAAGTTTCAAACCCAACTTCACTTGATAAAAATTTTAAAAATTAAATTAATTTTCCAGGAATCTTTAATTCTTAAAAAGTATTTGGTTTGTTTTAATATAATCTCTAAATACAAATAGTCAAGCTATTCAACTGAAACCAATAACATTTCCTTGAAACTAAAATCAACTTAAAATATTTTATAAAATTCCTCAACTCAAGCATCCAGCAATAAATATTTACAATACACTCCGATACCATGCGTATTAATAAATAAGTAAGTGCGGTTTTATCTCGGCGGATTCCCAACGACTGGGCCAAGAATAGTCAGCACATAAAAACAAAAGTCTAAGAACAATGCCAGGCTACCATAAAGATAACGATTAATAAAGAAGAGGTTCGATAAGTAAAAGCACTTAAAACAAATATTTTTAAATGTATTAATTATGATTTAATTAGAAATTTTAAACAATGAATTAAACTATTAACTTAAACAAAATTAAGATCTTGAAATGTTACAAAAATTCACTTCACAGTTTAAGTTTTCTTTCCATTCGAAAAACGTTTTTTATTAAACAATTTATAACTTTTTATATAATTTATATATAGTGAAATATCGCCATATAATATATGAAATATAATTCATATATTAACCTTTTATTAAGCAATATTTTAACTTTTTGCCAGCCCAACTTGATCTCATATTCAAATAGTTACAGCCATAAAAACCATTTTACATATCTTTTCAAGTTACTCAATTAACATTTTAAACAAATTTCACCTTTGTTGTCTACCTAAAAACCAATATTATAATTTGCAAACTAGTTTTGAGTTTCAATTTCAAACACCTATAAATTCAAACCACATTTTCATAGACATTTTTCTTGCAGTGCCCTCACAGCTGGTTGGCAATCAAAATATGGATCTATTATTTTGGGATCGCAATGTGGCGCTTGCTTACCTGACAGCCGTCACATGGTGCGAGGTATGGGTCTGTGTCTCCTTGTGCCTGGTGGACAGACTGACCACCGTGACATGCCGTGTGGCAGTGCGCACCACCCGCCGCACCCGGCTCCGACCATCGCCCACCACAACCACAATGGGCGGTGGCCGCTTTTCGCTGTCACTGCAATATTGCAGGAAGGACTCACTGCCACCCAGATCCGAATTACTAGAATGGATGTGATGGTGGTTGTGGTGTCCTTGCGAGCGGGATGAGTTGGTGGTGGTGGAGGAGGAGGTGGAGAGGGGTGCCGGCACAGGCAGCTGTTGGCGGCGGGATTTATGGTTGTCACACCTGGACATTGTGGTCAATGTAGGGGGCGAAAAAGGGCAACGGCTTTTACTTTCGCCTTCAACGTCGTCATGCAATTGTATTTCCTCTTTTGTGTTAGCCTTTCTTTCTTTATTTTTTTATTTTTTTTTTTGATTACTTTCGTTTATTCATTTGCAAATTGATTTGTTTTCTTGTCGTTTTGATTTCGTTTGATTTGATTGTTGGTTTATTGATTTATTTACGAGCAGCTTCGCATCATTCTTTGCCATTTTATCTTTGGTTTAGTTTTGTGGAATTCCATTTATCGAGTGTCTACATTCTTTTTGTTTAGATTTTTCTATTTCTGTCACAATTCAGAGCCTAAGATAAAGCATTTTGTTCGATAATAATTGCAATTTCAACCGTGACAATCGTTTTAAACAAAGCCACAAATTATTGTTCATGTATTGCGTATACGCCCCGTGCGGGAACGAGCGTTTTGGAACGTCAACGTTTGAGAATGCCCTTCAAAACGCGCTTGTCATAAAAAACAATTCATAGAATACGTTTTTATGACTGGCAATTGACGGGGTTAGAAAGCCACTATGACAGAGAAAATGCGAAAGAGAGAGAGAGAAAACTCGCAGATCATTGAGAACTTCAGGTTTTTTTCGGAAAATTCCAGACTTTTCTGTAACCCAGTTACTTACTTTATTTAAAATTCAAAGCTTAAACTTTTTAGGTATTACATTTTTGCTTACACTTGAGCAGCACTGATTCACCTTTTCACATGAATCACCTGTCAAATAAGGATAGTTATGGAATCCATTAGGTTGACATATATGGCTTGCTTTGGATTTTAGTTAGCTGTCGAAACATTTTAATTGCCAGCAATTTCGAATTCCAACTGAGTCAGCCAGCAGCATGTATTATTTCTTAAATATATATCATTAGATAGAAAAGTTGAAGAAGGAGAATCAATCATCTAGTTAGTTCTAAAATGGTTAACTTTGATCAACAAATTAGATCACAACTTTAAGATAAATCTTATTTAACATTCTTAAAAACCAGACATAAATCTAGTACTTCCGACATTAAATCCCATGATCACAGACCTTTATACCACGCCCATCATACCCCACTTTTTCACCCACTAAAACACAGAATGACACTTGCAAAAACAGAATTGTTTTTTACGTTCATTAAAGCCACAATGAGAGAGTCACAGCTCGCAGTTCGCAGTTTGCAATCGCATTCAATCAGCTTTGCGGCTGTTCCGCTTTTTGGGTCAGCGTCGATTGCTGATCGTTGATCGTCGATCGCGCAGCAAGTAAAAGTCGCAAGTTGTCAACTGCAGACTAGAAAAACAAAAACAAGAGAGAGAGAGTGTGGAAGCGGGACTGGCAAATAAACAATATTCAAATTGAATATGTCAGACACGCAGACATCGGGCATAACAACATCGATTTGGCACCAAAGCAGACAGCCCAGACTATACTATATAGATATTCCGATATATTCCAAACTGAACCAGACAAACACACACTCATGAGACCTCGAAAACGTGCCTTGGGAAAGTGCAAACTGGCAGTGGGCCTAGTCTTGTTTCTTTCTTTTTTTGAGAAACGATCACCCCCATGATCTGATTAGCTGATTAGCAATCTAGTGACCTGATCCACTTTGCACACAAAGGCAAAGGCCGCGTGATCATAAATCATATGAAAATTTATGTGCAAAGTGCGTGAGAATTCGCAATGAAAACAATGAATAGAAAGGGAAATATACACACAACACACTAAACAACATAAAAAAGCCGAGTGTTATTGTCCCAAGATCAAGATCTTTATATGGCTTTGAATATGTATGGTATGGAAATCACAGCTATAACCCCCCCACACACACTTTCTTTCTTTTCTCATAAAATACGAGTATACCTACGTTAAGTTCAAGAACCTTTTTCGAGTGCCACAAGAGCTTGAAACCGATCCCGAGACATCTCTGTTACAATTGTGACAACAACTTGTTGCCACTGTCTCTGGTTTTCTGTTTCGTCATTCGTTTTATACGAATATATATATCGTCATATATTTATGTATATATAATATATCATACATAAGAACCAAATGGATCGAGTAAAAAGCTGTTCAAACAAACGAATTTCGCTTTAATCTCACAACAACGCGGGTCCCAGGCCTTGGGAACAAGTCATGGAATTATTGGCCAAAACAAGTCGCCTACTGCCAATACAGTATAAACGCTTCGGGGGGAGTTCTCAATCACAAAACGCTTAGAATGTTGCCGGTGCCCACTCACACAGAAAATATACATACGAAGCGAAGCTGACAAAAAGAACAACTGAATGCTAAAAAAAAAAAAAACCATAAAGCTAAAGCTAAAGTATATTTTGTGTTATTTAGCAACTATTAGTAGTTTGTGGCTTTTCTAGTTGTTTCTGCTTCTGCTTCTGTGACTAGAACACACTTCCAACTTGTTTTTCCATTTTGTTTCATTTTTGTTTCGCTTCTGAGAAACTTTTGCCTTGTAATTGCAATTTTGTCAAACAAGTTTTTCGTTGTTTTTAAAGTTTAGAAGAAAATTGTGGTGTCTGTTTTTCTAGTTCACTTTAAATTACAGTGGTCGGTGGGTAATTAAGGGATTAGGGGTAATTTTTTATTCAAAGAACTGGCTAGTACAGTTTTTTCTTTTACTATTTTGTAATAACTTTAATGAGTAAAAAGTTAAACCTATAATTGGTTTAAGTTCTGTATTGCTTTATATTTTAAATTTAAAAATATGTTCTTTCTGTTTTTGTAAGAAGATTAGGTAATAATTTTCTATATTATTTTAAGGCTTAATGGAGATCAAGCCATTTAACAAGCTTTATTAAGCCATAATCAACTTTATGGAATTGTTAATTTGAGAGTAATTTAGGCTAATTCCTAGCACTTACATTTAACATAATCAAAAATTGAGGTTTGGCACTAAAACTTTAAACTTAATTCAACATTAAAAACCTCTTTTTACCCCTTAGCTTTAAAATACTTCCCAAAACTGTTCTCAAAGTCAGGTTCCATTCTGTTCAATATAGTCTTGTTTTTTCCCCCGTCTCGTTGATCAATAAAACCTTATAAAGAATATCAAATAAACATTCTGCTGTCTTCTGATTTGGTGTATTGTCGCTATTAATTTTAATTGTATTCCAAACTTGAGTTAAGTTAAGTTTCGAGAGTGATCACTGTGCTGTATATATAAGATATAGTCTATAGTATAGATAGCCAGAGCTTTGGGTCTATATGCTGGCTATATCTAAAGCTGCATCCGCTCTAGAGCACGACAGCAGCAGCGACTAAGGTTGCTATGGCTGCAGCTTTTGTTGCAGATAGAGCTGCCTTTGTTTTACAGGTGTTCCACTGCACGAGCAGCAAAAGCAACAACAACAAACAGGTAGCTGAAAAAAAAGCAACAGCAACGACGGCCACAATCAGTTGCAAAGCTGTTTTTCTTGCTTGTATTGTATAATTATTTAATTTATAATTATTTACTATGCGCTGCTCTCTCGCTCTCGCACTAATACTTGGAAACAATCAGGGAGTTAGTTCGATGCAGAGAGAAAAATATAGTTAACCTTATGAGAGTTTTAAATTGATTTAAAAGCAAATTTTTAAGTTTTAATCTTAAAGCTTTTCCTTAACCAGAAGTTTAAGAGATAAAATGCTCTACATGCTTAAGTCAATTTCTCTCAGTGTCTTTTAGGGATGGCCCATAGGAAGTAGGCGGGGTTGCGGGCGGAAAAAGAGGAAGCCGGCCAGCCCGTGCTCAATGCTTTTTATTCATTTTCGTGTCATTAGTAACGGCGCACGTAACAAAAAGCACGAATATGCTGTGTCTCTCTCTCTCTGCTGTTCTCTCTCTCTCTCTCTCTCTCTGCCTGTCTGACTGTCTCCGTTTTCTCTTCAAAACGGAAGAGGAAGTGGAAAGACAATATGCAACAAACATCGAATGCGGCGACGCAGCGTAATTGGGTGGCAAGCGATTATACAAGCCTGGCCAAAAGGCAAAACAAAAAGCAAATCAAACGCAGCAGCCAAAGAGCAAACGTCAAACAGCAAAATCAAACTTAAAATCAAAAGCAAAAGGAAACAAAAATTCCAAAAGCAGCGAAAACGCACTGAAAAATGCACCACTTTAAGTTTTTTTTTTTTATCTTTTTTCTGTTAACGGTAGAAGAGAGTGAGCAAAGAAGAGAGAGCGCTGAAAGATTAATTCCAATTTTTGTGGATCAACGGCTTTTGGCTTTCCAAGCTTTGTTTACTTTTTATGAATCAGCTGATTAAGAAAATAAAGCACTAAAAACAGTTTGGAAATTAAGAAAAATTAAGCAAAATCAAATATTTAAAGCCAAAATATTAAGTTAAAAAATATTCATTCATTCATTCACCACATTTCCATTGTTCTTAAAAACAAATCCAAAGTGTTCCATGATGATAAGTTCTGACTGCTTTTAAAACATCTTTATGAACCATTTAAATCACTGGAAGTGTTTGCAAGTCTTGCATTTTAAGTGGCAAGAAAAGGTGAATCAAGAAAGTAAACCCCCTTTACAGCTGGCCTTATGCTAAAAGTCAGTGATTCAGCGGATTTTGGCGGTCAAAAAAAGAAACAAGAAAACTTTTCCAGGGAATGCCAGACTTTTTTTTGAACTTTGAAAAAGATTTTTGCTATTGAATTCAATTACAAAATAATAGAAATTTCCAGTTGGATCCACACACATGAAAATACAAAAAAAAAACACACACACGCGATTTATGTGGTGTTTTTTTCCCAGTTTTTTTTTTTTCAATTTATTTTTTTTTTTTTTCTGTTGTGTTTTTTGTGTGTTTGCCGAAACGTAACGGGGCAGTGGCCGTGGATCCCGCTCTTTTCACCACCGATCCCGCTCTCTATATCTCTCTCTTTCGCACCCGCTACTGTGTTTTATTTTATTTTAGTTTTTGTTGCTGTTGTCGGCACTATTGTTTTTGTGATACACTCGACGCTTGGAGAAAGGCGATTTTCTCTTTAATTATATTTTATTTTTTTTACATCAACAAAAATTGTGGCTTGTTTCCGTTTTGTTTTATTATGTTTTATTATTTGATTTATTTCAGTGACACACAACGGTGTCAAATTAATAAACAAATGCCAGCAAAAAGTAGCTGCGTGTAGAAAATTTGGCCATTTTTTGGGATTTTTGTTTAAACTTTTTTTTAGCTTTGTTATCTTTTCATTTAGCACTCACAAACACACTTTTTTAATTTGCATTGAATTCATGAAAAATTCAATTTCGAAATATTTTTTCGTTGATTTTTTGGTTAACCAAAAAAGCGTTAATTAAACAATATATATTGGTAAGATATATATATATATATATTGAAACACACACGATCGGTCCAAGAGACACGCGGACAGCGCTGCAAGTGGCTACTGCGACTGCGACTGCGACAGCGAAAGGTGTAGCCAGCGAACAAAACAACAAATATCGCGAGCAGAGCGACGTGTGTGCTGCCTCCACGAAGCTTTGAAAGAAACTGAGACCTGAGCCCACTAAAAACAGTTGCGAGATGTAGAAAAAAAAAACAGAGAGCCAGAGAGAGAGTGTGTGAGTAAGTTTAAGTGTATAAGTGAGAGAAGAGCGCTGTAAGTGCATTGGTATTTGTTATTGCCTATTGGCCAAGTTTGTGGGCCACTCAAAAAACACTGGCTAATATTGTTGTTATTTTTGGTACCAAGCTGCCTAGTAAGCTGTCATTTTCCACTTGATCTGTTTCAAAGATCAAAATCTAAAAATAACATACTTTTAAATTTGATCCTGAAAACCAAAAATATTTAATCACCTGGCTTAGGCTGTTATTATTTTTTGTTCATAGGAAGTACTAAGCTAGTATTTTCTATTTGATCTTTTTTAGAGTTCAAAAATCAAAGAAAACTTGATCTGTTAACCTAAAACTATAATAAACTTTTTTACAGTATTTTTTAATAACAGATTGCTTTATAATATATAAAACAAAAAATTACAATATTTCAGTATTTTGTTTGTTTCATTAATCCCTTACAGAACTCCTAGATAGTATATTTTTTAGTATATTAATTCATAGTAATTTAACTTCATATACCAAGTTTACAGTTTTTTTCAACTAATATAAAGTACAGTAAAGACACAATAATAAACAAAAAATATAGCTAGCCACTAAAAAACAATGTATGTACATTTACTATTTATCTTTATATGAATTTTAGCCCCTTGCACACCTGTGCATTTACCTGCAGCTCTAGCTCTCTTGCTTACATATTCATAAGCGTTGACGTGTGCTGTCACAGTGGGTCTAATTGTCATTATATAACCCACCGTACATAACCCGCCATATAACCCAGCGTATAACCCACAGTTAAAGTGCAGCAGCTACTATAGAAAGTAAACCGCTCAATTACCTTCATTATTTGCATTTTAAAGCGAACGAAAATGAAGTCGATTCAGATTTTTTTTTTTTTAACCCAAAGAGTTTCGAAAAGTTTCCCAAAGTGGGAACGCTTGAATGTTACCGCTGTGTGTGTGTATTTTTCCCACTTGACTCCATTGTCAAATTGGGTAATTGCAAAACAGATCCGAAAAGAAAAAAAAATAAAATACGCACACACATAAATCGACAAACAGTCGTAAAGAGGTGTAAATTTGTATGCAAACGAGCGTAGCTCACACATGAGTACAAATTCGCTCTCAAGTCGAACTTAAAAATTGAAAAGAAATACGAAAGAGCGTAAAGCTCGGCTCTCGCAGAATCGAAAACAGCTGCTTGCAGCCTGCAGCTGAGCGAGTAAATGAGAGGACGAGCGAGTGGGAGAGACCCTGCACTAAAAGCGTGTGCTGTGCCAAAAACAAAACATGAAAGATGGTCATTGGTTTGGCAGATCGAAGACTTAGTTACCCTATAAGTAAGATCGCTCGACTCAGTACCCTTAAAATGTACTTTTTGCAAGTAATTAGATAAATTGGCTAGGGCACATAGACATACTCTTAAAACTATAAAAAAAGAACCCATACCTAATTGCTTTTAAAGTGCAACCCCAGGATCGTGCCACAAACGCGATCAAAAACTGATAATACCCTCCTGTTGAGGGTATATCGATTGTGGCTGCGCTTGTCGTAGTCGAACAATAAGCTGGGCTTACGTTACGCTCAGGTGAGTCACGAACCGAGCGAACCGCACTAAACGAGCGCTGAGGGGCAAGCGGGGGCGCTTAACTGGCAATGTTTTTTTCCCTTACTTTTTTATTATTTTTACTGCTGACGTCTACACACATGTGCCATATGGAGAGGCATGTGTGCATGAGTGTGCAGCATTACGGCTGGTCCCTAGTACTTGCCAGTTGGTAGTAGTTGGTAGTTAGTCGCTTGCAGCGGCCCGCTAACAAAATGGGCAGCGTAATGCCTCACTGGCTACACTCCGCTCCGCTCAGCGGCTGAGCCAAGCGTTAAGCCCGATGACTGTATGGCTACGGCTATCGCAAGTAGCCAAGTATCTGAGTATCTGAATATCCGAATATATCTGTCTGTGTGTGTGTATGAGTGTGTGTTTTAAACAACAAACCATTTATATCCGGACCTGCGGCCTGTTTTGACTTTTCATTGAAACCTGCTGTTCCACGGAAAACAATTATTATATGTTTTTAACGATCAATTTTAATGGTTTTTATTTCACAAAAAAAAACTAGATCTTAAAAGTCAACTAACAAGTCTATAACTATAATATATATATTAGCAAAAATCATTGCATAATATATTTAAGTATGGATTAGGGGAACTTGATAAGTTAAGCTATTTTTATGGTTCTCTACTTGTGTAGATAATAATAAACCTTTTTAGAGTCTGAAATTTTGAAATATTTATCTAGTAAATAGAAAGATAAAATATTAGATAATTCTATAATCAACGACGTAGATCTTGTTTAAGACTTCAGATATATATATTTTTACCTTTGTAACTTTACCTAAAATATAATTTCAAAATATTTCCAACCAATAACTATTTCCTCACAATCCAAACCAGGAGTGCTACTAACTGGAATTCCCTTTTACAATCTGATAATATCAAAACAAAATTGACCTCGTTTTTATCTCTCTGTATTTGCGGACACTGTCATAGCTGCGGCATCGTTAAAACTCAAGTCGTAAACATATGCACACATAAAGCCAAAAACCAAAACTTTTGCCACAATATACCCCCCTCTTTGGGGGGCCCCACAAACCTGACCAACTGATATTAACGCATTAGGTACAAGGTACACAAACCCATTTGCCATACTTGTCTGGGCCGAGTCTCAACTCAGCTGTTATGAAACAATAAACAGCCGTCAACGATGATGACAGTCAAACAAGAAACAACAAAAGGCCCCACAACATAGCGCGGCGAGGGTTGGCAAAGGGATTTTAATTAATGCAAAGTTAGCATCCGCAGGGGGTTGCAATTGCGACGAGAAGGAAAACTCAAGCTAGAAGGAATCTTTAATTAGAAGGTAATTTATTTCCTTTGTGAAGTCATCTTACAAAGTGACGCATTCCTAGACAATGGGGTATAAAAAACTTGGAAGTGAATTTAAAGGAAATTTGTGGATTTAATTTGTTCCCAGGGATCGTACGAAGAGGTTTATAGTAATCATCATTATGTGCATTATTCTGTTTTATTGTCAAAGGTAAATGTCTCTTAATTGATGAGAATAAAAACATATTGATAGACTTTTTTCCATCCAACAATACTAACAATAAAGTTCGCGTTCTCCTAACTTTACTTAAGTTTAAGCTTAACCTTAGCAAAACCCAATTTCTACTCAGTTCCTACTTTTTAACATCACTTCTCCTTTCCTATCAACTCTTCAATCTCCTCACTGCCTTAGTGTATATCTCACATATGAAACGCATTTTATATTTCATTAGTAAACATCGCGAAAGCTCAACCTTATGTAGTTACTAACTATGCGATTACCTCGTTTGCCCCTCCACCTCCCTACACTAAAACCCACCCGTTGTGTTCGCTCGCCTGACCTTAGGCATTTTGAACCCAATTTGTAAAAAAAAACAGACGAAGGGCGGGCAGCAGATGGGAAAGAGGAGCCTAGCCAACAAGCCAACAGACCTTCAGTCCGCCCCAAAACAGAAAACCCAAGCAAAACGATTGCGAGAGCTTAGGGCCCCGTCGTCTCGATCCCCCTAGATCCCCTACTATATAGTAGCTAAACTACTATAACCAAACGATTCCTACCTTCAACTTGCCGCTGGCGGGGCCATTGAATTGCTCATTCGGTCATGGCTACACAGCTTACCTACTGCCTATACTATATAGTATATATATATATATTTCTACTACCTATTGCCTACTGAAACGCCGGCTTTTCGAGCTCATTAGAAAGTGAACGCTGTGGCTGAGAGACAAAATCCCAGAGACAATGCGACCGAGTCTCTTGGAGCGCCGCTAATGAAGCCTGACAGGGCGCAGATATATCGGGCAAGGGATCGGATCACGATCACATCACAATCGAGATTCCCTCGCTCCCCTGTCATTAGGGCTTTCCACTGGCATTTCTCCTTACTATACACTAGCAAGGGGTACTTAAAGTTAAAGCCTATTACAACCTTAGTTTGGTTTCACTTTCTCAGATTTTTGGCATAATTCGATTCCAAGAAATCTTAAGATATGATCGATGATAGGTTTTTCTAACAATATGACTGTAAGTTGGGATACAAATTGTAGGGTTTTTAAAGTTGAAACTTATTACTATTGATTTAACTTTCGCAGATTTTTGCCATTTGATTTGTTTCCAAGAAGTCTTACTTTTAGACAAAAACTTAATGGAAATAGTTTGGTTTTATGTAAAGGTTGCTCAGTTTGGATTTTAACTTTACATTCTACAGAAAAAGATCATAATATTATCCAATTTATGAATTACAGAAGAAAACTACCCAAAAGTGCAATCACAAATTGCTATTATGAATACAGATTTTATCCCTAAATCATGTACTTAAAATCCAAATACCAAGTTAAATCACACCTTTCAAAGATATGATCGATCTGCAAGAGTATCCACAGCTTCGAGTTGCTCGATTTAACAAACTCTTTTTTATGTTTTCATTCAATTAAATCAAAAGTATCGCGCACACGAAGATGAGCCAGTGACGGATGATGAGATACAAATGAAAATGTCGAAAGAAAACATGAAAGAGCGCACAGACAGATAAGAGGGGAAAAGAAAGGGGAGGCCTTACTGGGCGATACAAAAAGATACAAAAATTATGTTAGTGGGAAATTTTTGTGGTTTCATGAAGTACAAGTACAAGAGTACTCACACTACACATTGGAATCGGAATCGCAGCGCCGTCACTTTCACTTGCACTTCGCCTTGCCCACCGCGCTTCACTTGCCGTTGTTGTTGTTGTGGTGTTGGCCATGAATGAAAAAGGCAGCAACAGAAAAAAGAAAAAAAAAATACCCCATTCTCTGCAACACCCTCTCTATATTGCCCCTTTCCGTGGTCAGCTCCCAGTGGTTATGTTTTTTATGTTTCTGTATTTTTTTTTTTGGAGCTGCTTCCATACCGCCACTGGCGCCTTCATCAATCAACGTGCGGCGGGCTCTGAATCGCTCGCTGCTCAAGTGGCACATTGGGAAAGTTCGCCCACAAGGGTTCTGCGGTGCTCGTTAGGCTCTAAATCACGTATCACACGCCCACAAAAGCCAACCACCCTCACATCACCCATTAAAGAAGCAGAGAGAAAATAATATGGCCAATTTTGGATTTTTATATCGGAAATAAAAACATATTTTTATACAAATAATAAAAGCAAAGTAAAATATGAAATATTATTTAGAAAAGTGTGACCTTGCTCTGAAAAATCATGTCAAATTTAGGTGATTTCCCGCAGTTAATATTAAAAATGTTTAAAAACATTTAACATTTGAAAACTTTCAATCAAAATGAGAAAATAATATTTATCCCAAACCATTTCCCTCCGTGTAGGTGTCTGTTTATGATTACCACTCGACTGGCTCTTTCATAGATTTTCATTTTGAATTTTTCATTGGAAAATTCGTGTTTACAAGCGATTAGCAGCTGATTATTATTACTTTTCGTCTGCCAATTGAATTTCTCAATTTTTCTTCTGTTTTTCTTGCATTCGCTCGCCCTTCTGTTTAGCTGGCTGACTCGGCTCATCTCGCTGAAATCGCTTGGAGAAAGACAAATCTAGAGAGCTTTTACATAATCCAAAAAGCAGTCATAAAAATGGTCATCATTATGCGAATTTCATTTGTTCATTAACTATTTTTGGTTGGCCAGTGAATGTTACGGGGCTGCTGCCTTTCTTCAAATTCTGTTGTATTCTATTTTGATTTTGATTTTGATTGCTTGTTGCCTTTTTTCGAATCACAGAAGAAGCTAATGAACTTGAAAGAGTCTTGAAAGAGTGAAAAGACTGGGTGTTGGGTAATTCAGGTAGAAGAGAAAAAGAGATACATAATTGTTGGGGATGTTTGATTGTAATTATATAATTTGTCTTTTGATGAGTCTATTAAAGTGTCAGTGTAGTGAAAAGATCAGCCAGCTGGCTTGCCGAATCAGTTTCAAAATTAATTAAAGAGTAGAAGGGGATTTATTTTATGGAAACTTGAATTTCTCTGTCTTTTTGATTGCAAAAACTCTTTTTAGTATCTTCATTTGGCTTACTAACTTGTGAATTTTCTCAGTAATTACATAAGCGATCACTTGATATGTTGTTTTCCTATAACTCAATCCCTCCTCGATCTCATTTCTCACATGTATAACAAGTAATTATGTACACATTTGTGATTCATGGGTCAATGGCTTCCTGCTACTGATCGCTCGACTTCACCAGGTAGCTGCTACTGCTTGCTGCCTTTTTCTTTAAACCCTTTTAGGGTAAGTGAAAAAAGAAGAAGGTTTGATTAATTCTATAGAAATTGCATTGCCAGGCTGCATTTCGTCAGCTTCAATTCAATGCAAATTACACAGCCAACTGAAAACAACAATGCGTCTGCGTCTGCGTCTGCGTCTGAGTCCGAGTCTGAAATTGTTGCTTTTGAATTGGGCAACGACAGCAAAGCAAAAACAACAAGAAAAAGCGAAACAAAAGAAACAACAAGGGAAATCTAAGCAAAACAACAAAACACTTTTCAGTTGGTTCTTTAGCTAGGCTTACATAGAGAGAAAAACTTGGGATTTATAATCTTAAGCTTGGTGTTGGCTGTTTAAGAAAATCTTTTTATCCATAAAAACCAATCAATATTAAAAAGGTAATACCTTTAATGACAAGAATAATATATATTAACATTAATAAGTAA